GCCAGGCGGGCGCCCTTCCGCTGGGCTAAACCCTCAGCCACCCTACATCTTTTATATATTCAAAAAAAACAAAGAGCTTATAAATATAAGCTGCAGTTTCTTCCAAGGTTATGTTCTTTTAAATTTCTGTGCTCAATAGCTTACTATTTCACTTCCATACTTGTGTTTATTTGATCATCAGACATGTAATTGGACTGGGAAACCCTACATGGTAAGATTCAGGATGGAGATAGAAACTATGAACATGTTCTAAGGAAGCTTGCAGGGTAGGAGAGAACATAAGAAAATGACGGTGTTACAGAATTGGATGGCCCCGTTGATCCTGTGGGAAAACCTGGGCAATGGGAAATGCACTGGAATGGTGTCTAACCTCAGGTTGAGTATCAGGAAAGTTTTTTCCAAGATGTGATTCGACCTGAAACCTAATGCATAGGACTGGGTTTTTAAAAACAAGGCTCTAGAACAGAGCCTTGAAACAAATGTTTAGGGGTGAAAGTGTTTAGGGGTGAAGAGTGTTATGGAAACTGAAGTTAGGTCCTTTGAGTAAAGCTTGAGCAGGAAGAGTATTTCACCACTTTTGGAATCAATCCCCCAAAGTTGTTTGAAATTGCTGCCTTTTTCTAATATGTAGTTTCCCCTAAAGATGTAAAACACAACACAATTGTTATTTTCTTATCCCTGTTTCATTTTTGTATATTTATGTACGACGTAGATTTACTTCAAAATCACCTTTTGAAATATTTAAAGCACTCAGACCATATGGAAAACCATGTAACCAAAGTCTATGTGTATTTCAGGTGGCTATCAAATCTTAGCCTTTTCCCACATTTAAATAAATCAGATTTTAATTTCAATGACTTTTTACTCAGAAACATTTCAGACATATAACAACGCTGACTGAAAATAACACAATGAATTCCCTTATACAGTCATTGCATGGGTATCGGAAGAACACCGATTTCATGGCATGCATGGATACCAAAATACAAGGATGCTCACTGACATCCCCTATGTAAAATGGTGTAGTGTGTCTATAGCCTTTGTAGGTCTCTTCCTGTACACTTTAAACAATGTCTAGACTATACGTAATAATGAATACTATGTAAATAGCTTTTACATTGTCTTAGTTAGGTGACAATAAACAGGAAAAATGTGTGTACTTGTCCTTCAGTACACACTTTCCTCAAATATTTCTAAGCTGTAATGGATTTAATGTAGAGATGTATACCTGAGATCATGGGAGTCCCATTGTATTCTGTACCTGTATTATGCTACAGGTTAACAGTTTGATTTTATATTCTTTCAGTCCCACCTTATTTCTCTCTCTTTCACAATCTCTCTTCCTAGTTCAGATTGTATTGTAGAAACAAACATCCTCTACTTTTCTTAAAAATCAAGAACATTCTTTCATTATCACAATATGAAGAAAACCAATCAATTGTCATGATGTGGTGCTATTAATGAATTTACTGATTTTAGTAAAATTTTGCCAACTAAAGTGTCCTTTGTGGGGTAGTACAGAGGATTGAACTCAGGTCCCTGTACTTGTTAGGCACATTCTACTTGTTAGTTATATCTTCATATATTTTATAAGCTGGCTATTTTGTATGTGAAGTGTGTGTCTGTGTCTGTGTCTGTGTGTCTGTGTTTGTGTGCCTGTGCTAGGGCTTGAACTTAGTTCTGGGGACCTGAGCTCAAAATTAGTGCTCTACCACTTGACCCACATCTCCTTTCCTATATTTTTTAGTAATTATTTTCAAATGATAGTCTCAAAGTCTTTCTTGCCCAGTCTGGCTTTGAACTATGATCCTCAGTTCTCTGCCTCATGAGTAGCTAAGATTACAGGTGTGAGCAACCAGCACCTGGCTTGCTGGTTATTTTTGAGATAGGATTTTCCTCCTGACCAGTCATGCACTTGAGCCCCTATATACCTATTTTAGTCTTCCTGTTTTAGCTGGGATGACAAGCATATGTATCATCACACACAGCTTCTTCCATAGATATAGCCTTGAGAACTTTTCTGCCAAGGCTGGTCTGGAACTGTGATCTTGCTATTCTCAATTTTCCAAGTAGTTAGGATTACAGGAACAAGACACTTGACACCCCACTAGTAATGTCTCATTATAGTGAAATAATTTTTATTCTAGATTAAGACCCAATCAAAGATCATAGGTTTCACTTAATTATGTTATTTAATCCAAGGAAGTCCAGTAGGCTTTCTTTATATTTCATGACTTTAATGTTTGAATAGTATAGTGCCATTCATAAGAGTTTGATTCTTTTCCTGACAGATATTTATTATGTAGAATTTGGAAGGAATATGTTAGACATGGTGATGTATCCTTCTTAGTGCATCTTGCAGGAGGCACAGGATCTTTGTCCCAATACTCTTAATATTAATTCTAATCATTTGGTCAGATTTCTGGCAACATTTAGAATTTTCTGTTGTACAATTACTCTCTTTCACCTTTTTGACTTATAATTATTCTGTAGAGAAATATTTTGACATTAATGAAATCGTTATAAACAAAGAAATACTGTTTTAAATGGATTTTCACCATCAAAGATTCTTGCCTGAAACAGTTATTCTGATTATTGGAGATCAAGTTTTACAAACAACCCTATAAAGCTTTTGATAGAGTGATAGCATTTATTGCTCCTGTCCAGGTTTTTAATGTTTCATTTATATATTTGCAGTGATGGAGTCTGAACCCAAGAGCTTGTCATTTTTCTATACTGAGCTACAGAATGAGGTCCCATATTTTTCATTTTGTAACTACATATAGCATGCTCCCATATGTTTTTTTGTGAATATGAGTTCACACAAATAGTAGCATGCCATATTTATTTTGTAATGTACTTTACTCTGCATTACATTTTGAGATTCATTTATATTGATTTTGTTTGTTTTAATCATTGTCCTATATATCATCATGGAAAATAATACCAGTTTTTCTCTCATGTATTGGCATTAGGATATTGGATATTTCCTGGTCCTCTTTTTCTTTTGTTTTGCTTCCTTTCTTGGTTGTGTTTACTCATGTAGCACAGTTGGCAGACTAGGCTCAGCTAGTGTGCTGAAACATCTGGATGACTGGGTAGTCTTATGCCCACTCCTCTTCCATGTAGGTTCTCTATGTGGATTTTGGCTTAAACATGATTATACCAGTAGGGTAACTGGACTTCTTTTCTTGAAAAGGTATTATAAAACACACATGACAACATTTACCATTTTGATATTTGTAAGTCTGTAGTTCTGTGGCACTAAATAATTCACATTACATGGTTGTATAACTACCACCACTGTCTACCTTCAGAGCTTTTTCATCCTCCAGTGAAATTTGGAACTTCTAAAACAGTATGATCTCTTCCACCCTTCTCCTTCAGCATCTGAGAACCATCATTCTATTTTTGGTCTTTGAGAGCTTGATCAATCCAAGGTCTTCATACAAAAGGAATCATACAGTATTTGTCTTTCTGTAACTGGATTATTTCACTTTGAGGCATGTTCTATTTCTAGTCCATTAAGGTATTTATTTCCTATTTGAATGTATGATTTACTTTCCTGTTTATTTGAAATTTTATCTATCTCTGCAATTCATTGGATTAAGAAAGTATATGAAGGTGTAGATTTACTCTCCTATACTGCATTGCTTCCTTATGAAAAAGTCAAATATATTAAAATTCAATATATACTTGATTTTGTTAATTATTTTTATTACTGATATAATTTAAAAGCCAGGAGGCTCAAACCTGTGTTATGGGGCTGGGAAGGTGGCTCAGTGGTAGATTGTTTGCCTTGCATGCATGAGGCCCTGGGTTTGATTCTTCAGCACCACATAAACAGAAAAAGCCAGATGTGGCGATGTGGCTCAAGCGGTAGAGCACTCGCCTGGAGCTGAAGAGCTGAGGGACAGGGCACAGGCCCAGAGTTCAGGTCCACCAGCAAAAAACAAAACAAAACAAAAAAATATCCTGTGTTATGGTGTAGATATAAATCAGATATATTCTTTGGTGTGTGTGTGTGTGTGTGTGTGTGTGTGTGTATGCCAGTACCTGGGCTTGAACTCAGAGTTTGAGTACTGTCCTTGAACTTTTACACTCAAGACTATCACTCTACCATTTGAGCAACAGCTCTCCTTCTGCCTTTGGCTGGCTAAGTGGATATAAGCGTCTCATATATATTTTCTGCTCTTATGGTCTGTGAACTGCAATGGGCATATCTCAGCCTCTGGAGTAGGTAGGAACATAGTCATGAGCCACCAGCACCTGGCATACATAAATGTAATCTTAGGCACATATAAAGTATCTCCTAATAAATGATTAAACAAATATATTCTCAGTAGTGTAAAATGGCAGCTTATGTAGATGTCTACAATTTTATATTAATGCAACTAAAAGAACACATAGATATATAAAAGAATATCTTACCACCATGAGAGATAATATATACACTAAATTCAGAGATGAATGAGCAACAGTGTACAATATAGGGAAAGTTAAAAGAGTATTAGGCCAACAAGAATTGGTGGGCCTTTTTCAGTCAAGTTCTATCTCTTCCAGATAAGAGCAACTCAGAGCAATGAAATGATTTCTACAGAAGTAAACAAACTATTTTAACACGAGAGCTATTTATTTCTAATGTCACTGAATTTCCAAAAGGAAAAAGCATCTCCAGTGTACTCTTCATCACTATACATATATTACAGTTATACTCTCTTCCCCATGTAAGAACAATGATGAATGTGCTCTGATATAAAAAAGGATGCTTCCTTAATCTTGGTTCTCCAAGACTTTCTGTTTTGTTTTGAAAGGAGGTTGGAATATGTTGCTCAGGTTGACCACAAACTCTCAACATAGCAGCTTTCAAAGTGCAGGAACTACAGGCAAACCCCACAGAGGATTCTAAATATAAACACTCTAGGGTATATTAGACAGAAATATTTTAGTAACTAATGAAAGCAAGTAAGAAAAATCATTAATCTACATAGTATATAAATTCACAAGTTTACCTGAGAAAATGTTTCCTCTTTATCTTCAAGTAAAGACTGAGGTGCAGATAGAAAATCCTTCTTCTCACAGCTCTCCTGGCTGATGAGTGTGTCAGCATAGTTGGGTTGAGGGAAGATGATGTGGCTTTTGCGGGAGTCGGCGGTGAGGGAGACCTCATGGGAATAGGTCTGAAGGAAAGCCTGAACTCCATCCATGCCCACAAAGTGAGAGGCAGGCATGGCAGCCAACCCATTCCTGGAGGACGGGAGCAGGCGCGCTGTGTGCCAGCGCCTCAGCCTGAGTGCCAGCAGCACAATGACAAAGGCCAGGAAGACACAAGACACCACAGCCACTGCCACCACCAGGTAGAGCGTGAGGTCTGAATCCTGTGGATCAGTGGAGGTCTGGAGGCTGCCGAGGTCTGCCAGGATGTCTGGAATACTGTCAGCCACTGCGATGGTCAGTGTGACAGTGGCTGAGAGAGGGGGCTGGCCATGGTCCTGCACAGACACCACCAGGCTCTGCTTGAGCACATCTCTGTCCACAAGGGCCCTTGCTGTGCGCACCTCACCTGTGTGCAGCCCCACCATGAAGAGCCCAGGTTCACTGGCCTTGAGCAGGCGGTAGGACAGCCAGGCATTCTGTCCTGAGTCCTTGTCTACTGCCACCACCTTGGTCACCAGATAACCAGGCTCTGCAGATCGGGGAGCCAGCTCCACACCTGTGGAACCATCGGTGGGGAGGACAGGGTATAGGATCTCAGGTGCATTGTCATTCTGGTCCACCAAGAACAGGTTCAATGATACATTGCTGCTGAGGGGAGGTTTGCCGCTGTCCAGCGCTATCACCCACAGCTGTAGGTTCTGGAATTGCTCATAATCAAAAGACTGCAGAGCATAGAGGACCCCACTGTCAGAGTTGATGGAAATGTAAGGAGGAGAGAGGTGCTCCGTGAAAGGTCTCCTCAGCCAGAGAGTAAGTGACATGGGCGTTGTGTTCGCTGTCTGGATCATGAGCCAACACTGTAAAGATGGAGGTGCCACGGGGGTTGTTTTCCTTAAGGTAGACAGAGTAGGATGCCTGCGGGAAGGCTGGTGGGTTGTCATTGATGTCTGCTACCTGTAGCACAACATGAGCATCTGTGCACAGTGGTGGGTCCCCTCCATCTGTGGCACTCAGAGTGATGTTGTAAAAGGAAACCTGTTCCCTGTCAAGGGTTCTGGTTGTAACCAGTCTGTAGTAATTGTCCACTGACCTTTCTAACTTGAAAGGCAGTTCCTCTGGGAGTGAACAGGCGACAAAAGCATTTTGTCCAGAGTCTCTGTCGTGTACATTGAAAAGCGCAATTATGGTTCCTGGAGGAGAGTCTTCAGGAACTGAGCTGGTGGCAGAAGTCATGTAAAATTCTGGGGCATTGTCATTCACATCCAAAACGGTAATGATGACCTTTGTTCTGGTTAGAAGGCCTGGACCATCCTGAGCCTCGATATCAATTTCATGGACTTTAGCTTCCTCATAATCGAGACTTTTCATGATTGTTAGATCTCCAGATGTTGACGTCAATTCAAATATGTCTGTAGTTGCTCTAGGGATTTGCTCTAGAAAATATGTCACTTGTGCATTGTATCCTTCATCGGCATCAGTGGCGGTCACCGTGACTATTCGGGTGCCTATTGGTATATTCTCTGGAACACTTACTCGGTACTCGGACTGTGTAAAAACAGGAGCGTTATCATTCACATCCAGCACTTTCACACGGATGCGGCAGGTGCCAGATCTTACCGGGTTGCCCCCATCTGAAGCAACAAGAAGGAGATGGTGCATAGCCTCTTCCTCGCGATCCAGAGCCCGCTCTAGCACCAGCTCGGGATACTTGTTCCCATCTACTCCATTCCGCATCTCCAGGGAGAAGTGGGCATTTGAGTTGAGCTGGTACTTCTGCAGGGCGTTGTCTCCCACATCAGCGTCATGCGCACTCTTCAGGGGGATCTGAAATCCTGGAGCAGTGGTTTCACTGATTTTGAGCTCCAGCTCCTCCACTGCAAAGCGAGGGGCGTTATCATTCACATCTGTGATTTCCACCTCTACGGAATAAACAGTCAGTTTGTCTTCCAGCAAAACGTTAAAGTTGACGAGACAGCGGGGGCTCTGTGCGCACAGCTCCTCGCGGTCGATCCTGTCTGCGGTGACCAAGCTGCCGCTCCGCGGGTTCAGGGCGAAGAGCTGCGCCCTACCTCTGGAGACGACGCGGACGCCGCGCTGCGCCAGCGCCTGCGGCTCCCAGCCCAAGTCCTTCGCGATGCTGCCCACGAAGGAGCCTTTGTCCACCTCCTCCGACACGGAATAGCGAATCTGCCCGGCCCCAGCCTCCCACAGCACGGCCGAGAGAAGGCTCAGCAGGACCAGCTTTCTGCAGTGGAGGGCGTTCTCCAGAGCCGCCATTTCCCTTCTGCCGCGGGGTTTTCTCGGTGAACGGTTTCTGGCTTCTAGGGAGAGAATCCACTCCCTTGTCCACGGTCTGAGACGCCCAGCATGCACAGGGCCCAGCTTACTGTGCAGAGAAGCAATGTGCTGCCGGACCGAGTTGCTTTGCCACCGGAGCTTGCAGGCGCAATGCCCAGCCCTGTGTGTGTGGTCGGTGGTGTTGGCTGGGTTGTGTCTCTGCCTCGCACTCCTTAGGTGGTCAACAGCGACGCCCAGAGGCTTAGCTGGTTTCTGCACCACTCACACAATCCCGTTATTTATTAAGGTCTTCTGTGAGTTTTAGTTTTCTAAAACCTTTAGCAATAAATCTTTTAAGCCCAATTTTGCTTCCCCCTCCCCAAGAATGAATAGGAGTGTTCCAATTTAATGCGACCTTTACAATTGTTCTACAATACTCTATTCGTTAACGCTCTAAGAATCAATTCTCCCAGAGTGTGCGGCGTTCGCACAGGCATTTTCGTCCTCTTTCATATCGCATATTAGGAAACCACGAAACTCACTTAAATTGCTATCTTCAGTTTATTCCAAGGTTATGTGTTTTAATTTCTGTGCTCCATAGTTTAATGGTTCATATCAAAATTTGTATTTATTGGATCATCAGATACTTAATTGGATCCTCCTAACAGTTAATTGGAATAAGGTTTGTGATGGAACTATGAACATGGTTTACGGATGCTTGCAGGGTGGGAGAGAACATAAGAATTAGATGGCTGCTGTGATATCAGCTGGGAAAACCTGGGCAATGGGGAAATGCCCTGGAACAGTATCTACCCTATGGTAGGGTGTCAGAAAGGGTTTTCCAGGATGTGATTGGATCTGAATCCTAATGCATAGGGCTGTATTTTAAAAAGTGGCTGCCATATTTTCTTGAAACATATTGCCACATTTGCTTGAAACAAATGCTTAGAAGTGAGAGTCCTTGACGAACAATATGGAAGCTGAAGGTAAGTACATGGACTAAAGCTTGAATAGAAAAAAAATGGCTGCCATATTTTCTTGAAACATATTGCCACATTTGCTTGAAACAAATGCTTAGAAGTGAGAGTCCTTGACGAACAATATGGAAGCTGAAGGTAAGTACATGGACTAAAGCTTGAATAGAAAGAAATTACCCAAAGTTATCTGAAATTTCTATCTTTTTGTGACATGTTTTGTTTTCCAAGGATGTGAAATACCCCCTGTAAAGCAGTATTTTTAGATTTAAAAGGTACTCTTTTAAATAAACAAATTAATAAATACTGCTATAATAAATTTTCACCATTGTGGAGGAGAAGGGGAAAAACAAGCTGTTGAAAGATACAGGTGGACCCGTTGCAACAATGAGAAGTACAAGTTGTCATGTCAAAAACGAACTTTACAACTTTGGTGGGGGGAGAGGTTTGGGTGGGGGGGGGGGGGGAGGCTGGGAAGGGATGTGAAGGGTAAACAAAGAAGGAGGCTGCAATGCTTGATAAGAAATGTATTCATTATCTTGCCCATGTAATTGTAACCCCTCTGTACAGTATGTTCACAATAAAAAAAAACCAAAAAAAAAATAATAAATTTTCACCATTGATGACTCTTGCCTGAAATAGTTATTCTTGTTATTGGAGATCAAGTTTTATAAACAAACCTCGTACAGTGATAATATTTATCATTCCCATCGAGGTTTACTTATGTATTTGCAGTGATGGAATTTGAAGCCAGGGGCTTGCTATTGCTACAGCCCCAGACCTCATAGTGTTTATTTTGTAACTACATATAGCATGCTTCCATACATTTTTGTGTATGTGAAATTCACACAAATAATAACGTGCCATATTTATTCTGTCCTGCACTCTACTTAGCATTACATTTTGACACTCATTTATGTTGATTAAGTTTGTTTTAAATGCTGTCCTATAAGTCATCATGGGAAAAATGCCTAAATTTATTTCCCATACATTGGCATGAGGGTATTTGATCATTTCCTAGTCCTCATTTTCTTTTGTTTTTCTTCCTTTCTTGGTTGTGTATACTCATGTAGCACAGTTGGCAGACTGGACTCAGCTAGTACTCTGAAACATCTGGATGATTGGGTAGTCTTATGGCCACTCTTCTTCCATGTAGCTTCTCTATATGGATTTTGGTTTAAACTTGATATTACCAGTAGTAGATTTCTTTTCTTTAAAAATTGTTATAAAACACATGACAACATTTACCATTTTTATATTCTCAAATAGGAAGTTTTATGGCACTAAGTAACTCAGATTACATGGTTGTATGCTTAAGAATACAGTTGTTAGCTGGGTACCATTGGCTCATGCCTGTAATTCTAGCTACTCAGGTGGCTGAGATCTAAGGATCATGGTTCAAAGCCAGTGTGGGCAGGAAGGTCAGTGAGACACTTATTTCGAATAAATCACCAGAAAACCAGAAGTGGTGCTGTGGCTCAAGTGGTAGAGCACTAGCCTTGAGCTGAAGAGCTGAAGGGCAGTGCCCAGGCCCAAAGTTCAAGACCCATGACAGACAAAAAAAAATACATTTGTCAATCAGGCACCAGTGGCTCACACCTGTAATCCTAGCTACTCAGAAGGCTGAGATCTGAGGATCACAGTCCAAATTCAACTCAGGCAAGATAGTTTTGAGGTTCTTGTCTCCAATTAACCACTGGAAAACTGGAAGTGGCACTGTGGCTCAACGTGCTAGCCTTGAGAGAAAAAGCTCAGGAACAGGGCCCACCCTCTGAGTTCAGGCCCCATGATCTACCTCAGAGCCTTTTCATCCTCTGGTGAAACTTTGAACTTGTTAAACACTAGCTACTATCTCTTCTACCCTTCTCCCTCAGCACCTGGGAATCATTATTCTGCTTTTGGTCTTTGTGAGCTTGACCAATCCAAGGACTTCATACAAGAGAAAACATGCAGTATTTGTTTTTCTGTGACTGGATTATTTCACCTAGTGCCATGTTCTATCTCTAGTCCATTTAGGTATTTATCTTCTATTTAAATATATCATTTATTTTCCTGTTTGTTTCTTTTTAATTTTACATATCTCTGCAATTCATTGGAGCAGAGTAAGTATATCAAGGCACAGATTTACTCTCCTATACTTCATTTCTTCCTCAAGAAAAGTTAACATACATTAAAACTGAATATATACTTTATTTTTGTTAGTAATTTTCCTAATTACAGATATAATGTAAAAGCAAAGAGGCACAAAACTATTTCGCAAGTTATATGGTACAGATACATCAGATGTATTGTTGTCCATGTGTGTGCACATGTGCACATGTGTGTGTGTGTGTGTGTGTGTGTGTGTGTGTGTGTGTGTGTACCAGTACTGGTACTTGAACTTAGGATGTGGGTACTATTGAACTTTTTCAGTCAAGGCTAGCACTCTACCACTTGAGCCCCAGCTCTACTTCTGACTTTTGCTGGTTAATTGGAGAAAATAGTCTCATATACATTCCCTTTCCCTGCTATCTGTGAAGTGCAACAAAGAAAGTAGAATTATAGTCATGAGCTACCAGCACCTGGCTTATTCAAATTAATTTTTTTGTTTTGGCTGATCATGGGGCTTGAACTCAAAACCTGGGCACTGTCCCTGAGCTTTTTTACTCAAGGCAAGCACTCTACCACTTTGAGCCACAGTGCCACTTCCAGTTTTCTGGTGGTTAATTGGAGATATGTTTCGACTGTGATCCCCAGATCTCAGCCTTCTGAGTAGGTGAGGATTACAGGTGTGAGCCATTGGTACCTGATTAACAAATGTATTCTTAAGCACACAAAAATATCTCCTATTAAAATGGTAAACAAAAATATTCAAAACACTTTAAAGTTAAAGCTTTTGTAGATTTCTATAGTTTTATATTAACATAACTAAAAAGATTACTTCAAATATCATACCACCTTGAGAGATAACATCTATATTAAATTAACCAAGGAATAAGCAGTTGTGTATAATGTAGGGAATGTGGAAATAGTATTAGTCAATAAGTACTGTTAATCTCTTGTAGTCAAGCTTCATCTGTTCAGATAAGAGAACAGTAAATTCAGAACAATGAAATGAATTGGCCAGAGGCAAACAAGAAATTGTTTATACACTAGGACTCCTTGTTTCTAATATCATCTTCTTTCCAAAAGGAAAAAGTTCCCATGGTTTCACTTATCTGCAATAACTAGTATATGTTTAGGACAAGCAGAAAAGGTCAAAAGCTATGTACATATGACCATATAAGATGATGCTAAGCAAAATGAATCCCAAGATAGGGACACAAAAGGTTTTATCTTTGCTGCTGTTGTTTTTAATGTACTTATAATGTACTATATGATTTTTTTGTTTCTTTTGTATGTTCTTCCCCCATGGTATAATCCCTGTTTTCACTGTACTTGATTCCAGTGCCCTGCATCTTGTATATACATTTTTTTCTCATTTGAGGAGGAGGACGGGAAATAACAAAATGCTGAAATAAGGATACAGGTAGACCCATTGTAATGAGATGTACAAGACACTATGTTGAAAATGAACTTTACAACTTTGGGGGGGGAGGAGGAGTTTGGGAAGTAGGGAGGGAAGAGATGGTAGGGGAAAAACAAAGGAAGGGGTAACAATACTGGGTAGGAAATGTACTCATTACCTTATTCATGTAACTGTAACCCCTCTTCACAGTATGTTTACAATAAAAATATATTTAAAACAAAGGGAAAAGCATATTAAGCATACCCTTCATCCCTATATACATATTATGATTATAATTCTCCTTTCCATTGTAAGAACAATTATTTTCTGATATAAATATGGAGGCTTGCTTAATTCTGTTTTTTCAGGAGGTTATGATATGTTGCTCAGGTTGACCACAAAATCTCAATACTCCAGCTTTCTGAGGGCTGGAACTGCAGGCATGCAACACCAACCACACCCAGGATTTCAATAGAAACCTACTAGGGAATAATATACAAAACTAGTAGCTAGTGAAAGCAAGTAAGCCAAATCATTATTTTAATCTACATAGCATAGAAATTCACAAGTTTACCTGAGAAAATGTTTCCTCTTTATCTTCAAGTAAAGACTGAGGTGCAGATAGAAAATCCTTCTTCTCACAGCTCTCCTGGCTGATGAGTGTGTCAGCATAGTTGGGTTGAGGGAAGATGATGTGGCTTTTGCGGGAGTCGGCGGTGAGGGAGACCTCATGGGAATAGGTCTGAAGGAAAGCCTGAACTCCATCCATGCCCACAAAGTGAGAGGCAGGCATGGCAGCCAACCCATTCCTGGAGGACGGGAGCAGGCGCGCTGTGTGCCAGCGCCTCAGCCTGAGTACCAGCAGCACAATGACAAAAGCCAGGAAGACACAAGACACCACAGCCACTGCCACCACCAGGTAGAGCGTGAGGTCTGAATCCTGTGGATCAGTGGAGGTCTGGAGGCTGCCGAGGTCTGCCAGGATGTCTGGAATACTGTCAGCCACTGCGATGGTCAGTGTGACAGTGGCTGAGAGAGGGGGCTGGCCATGGTCCTGCACAGACACCACCAGGCTCTGCTTGAGCACATCTCTGTCCACAAGGGCCCTTGCTGTGCGCACCTCACCTGTGTGCAGCCCCACCATGAAGAGCCCAGGTTCACTGGCCTTGAGCAGGCGGTAGGACAGCCAGGCATTCTGTCCTGAGTCTTTGTCTACAGCCACCACCTTGGTCACCAGATAACCAGGCTCTGCAGAGCGGGGAGCCAGCTCCACACCTGTGGAACCATCGGTGGGGAGAGTGGGATACAGAATTTCGGGCACATTGTCATTCTGATCTAGCACAAAAAGAGTTAGTGACACATTGCTGCTGAGTGATGGCTTTCCGCTATCACTAGCCATCACTGTCAGTTGTAAATCCCGGAACTGCTCATAATCAAAGGACTGCAGAGCATAGAGGACTCCAGTGTCAGAATTAATGGAGAGGTAGGAGGACAAGGGTGTCCCCTGAAAGGTGTCATCCACCAGAGTGTATGTCACTTGTGCATTCTCTGTGCTGTCAGCATCCTGGGCCCTCACTGAAAAGATGGAAGCCCCTCTGGGGTTGTTTTCGGGAATGTAGACAGAATAGGAATCATGTTGGAAAACTGGGGGGTTGTCATTGATGTCAGTCACTAACAGCGCAATGTAGGTTTGTGTAGACAGAGGTGGAGTTCCCTGGTCTGTGACTGTGACTGTGATGTTGTAGCCAGGGGTAAGTTCTCTGTCCAGTGTTCGTTCTGTTACTAAGCGGTAGTAGTTATCAAGTAACTTTTCCAATGTAAAGGGTAGATTTCCAGGTATGGAACACATGGTGTGACCATTGTCTCCAGAGTCCTGGTCATGGACACTGATAAGAGCAATTATGGCCCCAGGAGAAAAGTTTTCTGGGACTGCAGTGGCAACGGATGTGATGCTTATATCTGGGGCATTGTCATTTATATCCAAAACTTTGACCAGCACCTTAGCTCTGGCCATGAGCCCAGCACCATCCTGAGCTTGAATTTCCATGGGATACACTTTGTATTCTTCGAAATCCAGTGGTTCTTTACTTGATATTTCTCCTGTATGAGAATCCAACTGGAATATTTGGGCTACTTTGTGATCTACATTGTGAAAGGAATATGTCACTTCCCCATTGGCACCTTCATCTGGATCAGTGGCATTGACTGTGAGCAGCTGCGTGCCTGGTTGAACATTCTCAGGGACACTTACGTAGTATTCTTCCTGTGTGAACGTTGGAGGGTTGTCATTCGCATCCACCACCTGAACTCGAATATGGAGCGTCCCTGAACGGACGGGGTTGCCCCCGTCAGAGGCAGTGAGGAAAAGGTAGTGGACAGCTTCTTTTTCTCTGTCTAGGGAACTTTGTAACACCATTTCTGGGTGCAGAATCCCATCAGGTCCCTGTTGCACATCCAGGGAAAAATGAGGGTTGGAGCTGAGCTGGTAGCTCTGGAGAGAGTTCACACCCACATCAAGGTCTTGCCCAAATGGCAGAGGGACCTTGGTACCTGGAGCCGTTATTTCATTCATTTTAAATTCCAGTTCTTGTAACTGGAACTGGGGACTGTTGTCATTAATATCAACGATTTCCACTTCGACAGGATAAAGTTTCATTTCATCCTCAACAAGGATATTAAAACTCACCAGACAACGAGCGTTCTGGGCGCAGAGCTCCTCCCGGTCGATCCTGCCCGCGGTGACCAAGCTGCCGATTCGTGGGTTCAGAGCAAAGAGCTGCGTCCTACCTCTCCAGACGATGCGGATTCCGCGCTCCGCCAGCTCTTGAGGTTGTAGCCCAAGGTCCTTGGCGATGTTACCCACAAATGAACCTCTATCAGTCTCTTCTGGTACAGAGTAGTGTATGTTCTCAGCGCCGGCTTCCAGTAGTAGTTCCAGAAAAAGGCAGAGAAGCATCAGCCCACGGCAGCCGCTGGGCTTTGCTGGAAACGCCATTGCTCTCTGGCTTCGTAGTTTTCTCCCAGTCTGCTATTAAGGGTAGATCCTTTCTCTGTTTTTCAGAGCCTAAATAATGAATCCAATTTTCAAGATAGTCCCGAGTGGAGAGTCGCCCAGAAACAGGGTTTGGGTAGCTTCAGGTAGACTTCAATCTGGTGGTGGTGAGGAGGATTCTAAGAGGCACACTTTTCCCCCTCTTCCCTTTCTTCCTTATTTTTTTTTTCCTCTTTACACTGGGCGTGTGAGTCCTGCTTCGCCCAGCTTGGTGAACAGCGACGCCCAGAGCCCTAACCAGTTACTGCACTCCTAGAAAAACATTGTAACTCTGAGAGCTTACCTTGTTAAAGAAACAGCGTATGTGTATGGAAAGGAGAATAATCATTTACTTGATCGTCTGAAATGTCATCAAATCTCAATACTCAAGAGAATTCTAGTATCTACAAGGTATTTGCTTTTCCTATTTGCTAATCAAATAATAAGAGTCAAGAGCTCACTAAGTCACCAACAGGAAAAAAAAAATCAAACCTCTATTATTTTTGTCCTATAGCTTGAACACTTGTTAATTTCCCAGGCCATGTAGAACAGTTACAGTTCAGAAAATAAAACAAAAAGGTGGAAGGAAAAGTAAATTGTTCATCATGTAAGGCTTTCAAACACTGGAGCCACCTAATTTCCTTTCCATTGTGCTATGAGTATTATTCAGAAACCTTGGAAGTTTTTAAGTCCAGATTTTAGCTCTATTCTTATTTTTCTGAAATGTGCATTATGTGGGTGTTAAAATTCAAACAAAGGCAATATATTTTGAATAAAATAATATTGCAGCTGGGTGAGATATGAGGACCAGGGTTTGAAGCCAGCCTGGATAGAAAAGTCTGTGAGTGTGAGACTCATATCTCCAGTTAACCAGCTAAAAACAGGAAATGGAGCTATGTCTCAATGGAATATCAGCCTTGAGTAGAAAAAGCCAACTGAAAGCACAGAGCTCTGATATCAAGCCTCTGCACTGGCAAACACACACACACACACACACACACACACACACACACACACACAATGTCAGCTCCTAGAGTTCCATTTAAAAAAGTCACATGATTATATAATTTAGACATCAAATTTAAGAGATAGAGAGGTTGCGACAATCTCTATAAATGAAAACAAACAAACAAACTGTATTTTAAAGCAAGCTCTAGGAATGTTATTTTCCCACAAGCACACACATTTTCCCCAAGTTAAGATGGTTCTCTTTATTCTCCTTTCCCTTTTTCTTTTTGTGTCAGTCATGGGGCTTGAACTTGGGGCTTGGGCATTGTCCCTGATCTCTTTTGCTCAAGTCTAGTGCTCTACCACTTGGAGCCACAGCACCACTTCCAGTTTTCTGGTGATTAATTGGAGATAAGAGTCTCATGGATTTTCTTGCCTGCGCTGTCTTTGAACCACGACCCTCAGACCTCAGCTTCCTGAATAGGTAGGATTACAATGCCAGTCTTGGTTTTCTTAATAATAGAAAGGTAAAGATGTTGCCTTCTTTCTTTTACTCAGTGTTAGTAAAATTAGTGTTATTGACTAGAGTGAAGCCTAGAATAGTTTATTTATTCTTACTCAATGGTTATATAAGTATGTTATCTGAGCTCCAGAGTTTGACATTTTTGGGAACATTTTTAGGGCAGATACTGGAAGCCATCCCATAGATATAATGACTGAGAAAGATTTAGAAAAATGAGCACAGAAAGGAGGAAATCAAAGGCTATTAGAATGTTTCTTGGAGCCAGGTATTGTGGTGAAAGCTTGTAATCTCAGCACTTGTAAGGCTGAGACAGAATAGCGAGTTTGAACCATCCTGGGCTATATATTAAGGCACTATTTCAAAAAGATTGACATGAATGAATAAATTAAAAAATAATCATTCTTGGAAAGAAATTTTCTTTCCTTGAATAATGAATATCTCAGCTTACCAAAGATAAGTATAGGGAGCCCAAGGATGATAATATTAAGATGTTAAAAAATTTCTTCACTATTGCAAGGAAGGGACTTTGTAACAAAAAATACAACTTTTTAGAATCTAAATTAATGCAGGAAAATTTCCCCTGAAAGTAATTTTGAGCTAATGAGGCAAATCAAAACACCTGTAAAGGGTAGCCAGTACAGTTGTAGAGCTCCCAATCTCCAACAACAAAAGACAAAGAGGAGTACTTTATAAAAGGATCTACAAAGTTAAAATATTAAAACTTACATGAATGCACTTGATTCCAATGCAACATTTAGGCTTCATTGCTGATACTAAAGATAGTAACCAGTTGAAAGATGTTTCTTGAATTGAAGGAACTAAGGATTTGTGGTTGCAAAGCTCTATGTAGATCATAGAACAAGGCGAATCTCTTTCCTTTTTATTTGGAAGCAACTTACTCCCAGGCTTCGATCAGAGACCATATTGAAAGCAGTCAAGTGCTGGTGCTAAGGGAGTACCACAGGTAGAGGATAACATCCAGAGCTAGTTGGAAAAAGAAGAACACATAGTCCAAGCCAAGGCTATCATGAGGTTGAGCATCAGCTCTACCTGCCTGACGGTGAGTCTGGATGGATGCTGTGGTCTACCAGCAACTTCTGAAAAAAAAAAAAAAACAAACCTGTGGAACATGATGGCTTGTCGTTGTCTGGTGACAGGTAAATACTAGTGGGTTTGGTCTCTGTCATCCCAGAAGCATTGCACACAGGCCTGTGTGAATCCTCAAGTTGAAGAACCACATTAGCTGAAGTATGAATTAGGACAGTTAGTCCCCGTATCTCTATGGAATTCATTGTAGTCAGCAAGTAGCTGAGTTGAACATGATACAGTGTCAAAATGGGCTTTGTTTACAGCTTTACAGCTGTAAACATCCTCCTTGAATTTTAGTGGCAGTCATTCATCATCCCAGGCTGAGGCTGAGCCAGTCAAATTGTGATTACCATCCCTTGTCCACTCCAAGGTTAGTTCCACAACTATCACTTCAATCTTCCCTCACAGATGTAGGATGGCACTTCTGGTACCAGGTCACTTGTTGGGAAGAAATAGGAGGGATAGAATGTTCTACATCTTGCTCAAAAGCACCAAAGTGTTCAAAGGAGGCCTTGATAGGCAAATCTACTCACTTCTATTGGGTATGGTGGTACACACCTGTAATACCACAACTTAGTAGGTAGAGGCAAGAGGACAAGTTTAAGTCCAGTCTGACCTACACAACATATCAAAAAGCCAAGAGCTGAGGATATAGCCAGTAAAATAGGCAGGAACAAACACTCATTGCCACAAAGAGAGAGAGAGATCTTCCAAAGAAGTGAATCATTTCTATAGATGGAATTTATATTTAAGGTTATGCTGTGTTACAGCTTGTCTTTGTTATTCCAGAGACTTCTCCAAGATGAATATTTTATCTATCAGTCTATCAGCAGCTGACAGTAATTCTTGGAGATGAATCATTTGCCAGTGGGATCATTCTTATTTATACTGATTTTCATCCCCCTCCCCCCGTCCTCTGTCCTCTCTCCCTCTCTCCTTCTATCTCCCCTCCTCCTCTCTCTTTCCCTTGCCCCCCTCTCTCTTTGGGTTTGGTTAGGCACTACTTGACAGTTACAGTTCTCAAACTGCATTGCATGTGGGGCCCTGAAATGGATCCACAGTCTCCATTCTTCTAGTCCATGCTGTTGCCATTTGTTTTTAATGAAAATCAAGTGTGGCTGTAAATTTGGAGTAGATGCACATGGTATGCTCTATGAGATTATGCAGAAAGTATAGGAGAATTCTACCTTGAAGATATCTTCAAGTTAATGAAGATCAGCAGAGGAAAGGCAGAGGAGGAGATCAAGAATGGGCTCTTCTGCAGGGTAACCTACTGTATAAGCCTCCATCTAAGGACTGGCCTTAGTATTCAAGGCTTTATCTTGTCCTGACCATGCCAACCACTAATGAATGACAGCTTGCCCCTCTTGTCTGGAATATCTTCATTAACAATTCAACATATTTACTGCTCTAGAGTTCTCCTTCACTTCTAGGAGTCAGAGGTGGTTATTGAAACTAATTTGATAATTTTGTAGAGTTACTGCCAGCATCCAAATCTATTGACTTTAAATAGCTCTTATTAAGATCTTTCCCAGAATTTGCAAAATATCGTTGCTAAAAATCATTATGTTCTCGTTTGTGTCAAGGATGAATGTGATTTTCAAGTTCAAATGGTGTAGGTTCTTTCTTCGTTCTATCTGCTTAGATCCAGCCTGTCATATCCAAGTTGTTCTCTGCTGTCTGCGTTCTCTGAGACAGTTCTTAGCACTCACCTGGGAATATCCAGCCACGAGATCCCGTCTTCTGCGACACAATATCGTCTACATTAAAACCTTCAGTTTTCTTTTCCGAACAGCAAATCTCCTACGTGGTTCTCTAGGCAGAACAAAGACCGCAGGAAGAGAAACGGGGCTTCCTGCGCTCTGCTGGTCCTTTCTCTGCGTGTCAGATCCGAAAACCTCTCGCTGCAATTGCGCCCCGCTTCCGGATGACAAAGAAAAGGCATTCTGACGAGCTGACCAGGATATTCAGGTTAGAGGGCTGGAGAAAGGGAGTGCAGAGTCTTCCGGTGTGTTTCTCTAAAGCGGGATCCCTGCGTCAGTCACGGGTGCCGGGCGATGCGGCACGCTGGCCCCGACTGGGCCACAGCGACACCCAGAGGCCCAGCGCGAGATCATCACAGGTCATTTCTATAATCTTCTCTCTCCCCCCTCCCCCCGTCCCCCCGTCCCCCAAGAAATGGTATTCCCTACTTTTCGGGGAAGTTGCTTTGAAGTACCAACTACTTTAATACGAAGAGCTAAATCAGAGTTACTGCCAGCATCCAAATATGCTGACCTTAAATGGCAAATCATGATTTCTTTCTGGAAAAACATTAGTAAGATTTTTTTCTCCGCCACAAAATTGAAATCAAACGTTTTAATTTATTGAAATTCGACTTCAGGATCCTCATAGAAAATTTTCC